TTTTTTTTTTATAAACACCTGGCAAAGGTAAATTAATAATCTAAAGGGAAAAAACGTGTTTTATATAATAAACTACTTCTAACAGCAACTGCTCTGATATTATATTATTCTTAAACTTACGTATATACACATTTTTTATGTGACATCAATTTAGTCTTATTATCTACCTTTTATTAGCCCTCTAAATGTTTGCAAAAAAAATGGCCTATTAACTAGGAAGTTGGATTGTGCTGTTATACAGGAATAAATATATCATCCATCTGTTAATTTTTTGAAAAGTTGTTAAGAAAAGATATTTTTTAAAATAGAGAAAAGTTTTTTCGACTAAGTTTTAGGAAAAAAGTATGTATCAGAAAAATATAGTAAATTTTATCTCGCAGAAGTATAAATTTGTTCGAAAAATAGACGATAATCCGACTCACTACTAATTGTAAGATAAAAAATTAAATAGAGGAAATTTTAGTAAACACTCTTTGATTTGTCGGTTGTCTATTTTTTATATTTTATAATAAAAATATTAAAAAGCACAGATTTATTTTATAGAGGAATAAATTTGTTTAAGAACGTATAACCACTAGTATATTTTTTATAAGATTATGAATGAAAACAAGTTTAGTAACCAATTGATTTGTCGAACGCGTTTTACAATAAAGAAATAAATTCTTGTATACGTACTATATATTCCTATCATGCCTGGTTAAAATGACTAGTCTTGTAATCAAATTTATTGTGTTTATAATTAAACGTAGATAATCGTCAATTTGTTATTATATGAATTAGTAAGTGAATAACTGCAATGAAATGACGATATAAATTTATTTTTATATAATTATATATTTATAAACTAGAAAAGAAGGATCAAATATGAATGTTAATTATAGACAGTTTCCTTCATTCATTAATACCTTATATACACGCGACACACATTATTTTTAAGTATATAAATAATATATAAACATGTATCTTATACAACTTCACTATATTTTTTACCACGAGTATAAAGTAGAACAATAAATGTATAAAATTTTGTTATATTCAGTTTCCACTTACATTAGTCCCCAACACTTTAAATTCTTCTACTTTTCAGTAAACAAAAATTGCCTCAGTTTTCATAAGCGAAAAGTGGAAGAAAATAAAAATTGAAGAAAAAAAACAAAAAATTCAAGAAAACATAACATTTTAAAAACAGCAAAAAATAGAAAAATAAAACTTAAATAAGAAATGACAGCTCGATGCACGCAATTATAATGGACGAGAATCAATCATTACGATTGGTACGTCGATTGGTAGTATTTGACGATTGTCGCGCCTTCTGCTGTTAAAAAAGAATACTCTCAATGAGTTGAACGGAAGACTAGAAATTATCGAAGACCGAATTTCTTTTTCAATTTGCCACTATGGGTGAGTTTTTCGGTTTTATTAAAATTTATCTTTATCGAATTACATCTGTATTTTACATAAAAAATATGCTTGCAGAACATGAAAAATTTGTAAATTATATAATAATTTAGATATTCGTTAATATATTATTCCAACGTTTATTTGAAAAGTTTCTTAAATTACATTAGGTTTTTGTGGTTAGAATTAGTTTCTAAAGTTTTTGTGTATACAATTATTATAGTACATAATAATATAAATAAATGTAATTAGTTTATATATTACTCATCTTATTCATTAATATATTTTGCAATCGGTTACAAGCGACATATTGACTTGTATAAATTTGAGTAATTAAGAGTTTTTAATGAGAGATGTTGTATGTGACAAAATGAAACTTACATTAAAAACTTTTAATAACTAGGTATTTCCCGAGATCATTGGCATAAGAGGAGAGCTACCGGTGGGAAGCGGAAGCCTCTTCGAAAGAAGAGGAAGTTTGAGTTAGGACGCCCAGCTGCAAATACTAAACTTGGGCCTCAGCGTATTCATACGGTATGTTTGGATACAAAGATATGATTCGTCTATTAAACATCAAATTTCTAAAAATCTATTAATTTAAATTTGATATCTAATTATTTGTTATAAAAAATGATGATCACCTTACCTACTCTGAGATATATGTTGACATATTCCCACAGCGTACTGAGTTATATGCAGTCAATACAATTTTATTCTTCTTATTTGTAGTCACATAATTAATGCTTATTGTTTTTTTTCATCAAGGTACGCACACGTGGAGGTAATAAAAAATACAGGGCACTGCGTCTGGATACTGGAAACTTTTCATGGGGATCAGAATGCACAGCAAGAAAGACCAGAGTTATTGATGTTGTGTATAATGCATCAAACAATGAGTTAGTTCGTACGAAAACACTCGTCAAAAATGCAATAGTAACAATAGATGCAACGCCCTTCAGACATTGGTATGAAAGCCATTATGCTCTTCCATTGGGACGAAAGCGAGGTGCAAAATTGGTAATTAAATGTTTGTATTTGATTTGCAAATGTATTTCTGATAATGTCTATAA